TTGTGGGACACTCTTGTAGGACACTCTTGTAGGACACTCTTGTGGGATACTCCTGTAGGACACTCTTGTGGGACACTCTTGTAGGAAGCTCTTGTGGGACACTCTTGTAGGACACTCTTGTGGGACATTCTTGTGGGACACTCTTGCAGGACACTCTTGTGGGACACTCTTGTGGGACACTCTTGTGGGACACTCTTGTGGGACACTCTTGTGGGACACACTCTTGTAGGAAACTCTTGTGGGACACTCTTGCAGGACACTCTTGTGGGACACTCTTGTAGGGCACTCTTGTGGGACACTCTTGTCGGACACTCTTGTAGGAAACTCTTGTGGGACACTCTTGTGGGACACTCCTGTAGGACACTCTGGTGGGATACTCTTGTGGGACACTCTTGCAGGACACTCTTGTGGGACACTCTTGTGGGACACTCTGCTAAACAAGCTTTTCGTACGAGACTTCCTCCAAAAGTCACGCGTCAAGTCTCAAAAACGAGCGTTTCGTACGAGACTACCTCCAAAAGTCACACGTCAAGTCTCCAAAACGAGCGTTTCGTACGAGACTTCCTCCAAAAGTCACGCTGCGAGGCTGCAAGACGAGCGTTTCGTGCGAGACTTCCTCCAAAAGTCACGCGTCAAGTCTCAAAAACGAGCGTTTCGCACGAGACTTCCTCCAAAAGTCCAGCGGAAACACCTATCGGAGCACACACATCACGCAGCCCTGCCTAGCAATTTCGCGATTCCAGCCCCTCCAAACGACACCCGCTCACACGCCAATCCCAATGTGACAGCGACATTCACCTCTACCATAACTCACGACCTCACGATTCCCTGCGCCTGCCACGAATCTTTCCGCATCCACACGTCTAACGCGCACAAAGTACTGTGCCTGCCACGAAATGTCACCCCCGTCACACCTCGCAACCTCACGATTTCCTGCGCCTGCCACGAAAATCCCACTTCCACACCTCAAAACCTGCACAAAGTACTGCGCCTGCCACGAAAAGTAACAATGTCGTCTCATGTGGCCTTCAACAAAATTTGCACCGCACCACACGTTTGGAATGATTTCGACCCGTTCTGAGCACACTCCCAGGGTCCAAAATCGGCATTTCAGCTGAGACTTGTCACGAAAACAGAGCTTCGATGCCACACCCTGAAATGCAAATCCCAATGGCACGGCCACATCCAACACCCCAAAAACACGACTCTCCAAACGCTAATCCCAATGGAACTGCGCAGTAAACTGCGGATCTCTCAAACCACTGCGCCTGTGCAGCGAGATGCATCACGCTTCTTGCGCGACATGTCATTTTCATGCAAATCACAATGGAATAGCGTCGCAAACTGACACGTGACACATCCATGAAAAGTCACTTGCAAAAGCTTCCCCCAATGGCAGCGCCTTAGCGTCCTACTGCGAACGGTTGCGAACGGTTGCGAACGGTTGCGAACGGTTGCGAAC